GTATACATGTATTTTCTCACCCGTTATGTTGCTGATACGCTTTTGGGGTATCCTTCTGAATATCATTAGGTATGTGAGTATTGAACTACCTTATATTATACCCATTTTATTAAATTTATTGTTAACGAAAAAATTTGCATCTTTGGTATTAAAAAACCTACTATTTATTTTGCTCATTTTCAGAGTGGCCGAAAGATCAACATTGCCATCAATATTATCGACAATGGCAGCTCCAATTCATGGACACTCCTGTACATCAAGTTGAACTTTTCCAAATAATTGCTACTCTACACAACGTTTAGTTTAACGCACATTTATACATATCTATCTAGTAATTTCATCATTATTATAGGAGAAAATGTTTGTCTCCAGTTTTTTTGTCAAATTTTAATTGATTTTCGGTGATGGCCAACCTTATTGTTCCTTTTAATAAATATACTTTGAGAAATGGAACTTAATTTGAGATTCGCTTATTTATTTTTATAGCAGTTTACCGGTTTTGGTGCAATAAGGAATCTCAGTTTAATTCCTGAAATACCTATCAAGAGGAAAGTTGTTGTTTATGATCGGCGTCGTTAAAAAAATTTAGAAACAATAAACTACAGCGAGATTGAATTATTAGGTACCTAAAATACCTACATTAAATATGATAATGGATAAAAAAAAAATCAAAACAGAAGAGTCGACAGGGAAGAGGAGGCGGAGACGCGACAGGATGCGGCGAGGCGACAGAAGGCGGAGAGGCGACAACAACCGGCAGAAAGGCGACCACGACAGAGGCGACAATAGAGGCATCCATAGAGGCTCCCAGTGAAAACTATTTTTATTGGGAAACGCCCCTCTGGGACTATTGAACGCAGTAAACTAGGTCCAGTGCAAACAACCTCTATTGGGAAACGCCCTTCTGGACCTGTCTCAAAACCCAACTTCAGTATTCAGTCAGAGTATTACGCCAAGTTCACAGAGCGTACATAATCTACAGTCTACAGAGTGGCTTAAGTAGTACGTCCCTCCGTGTCTTGTGTAAGAGACGTCATGCAATTATTCATAGGGAAATTTCTATTTATCAATACATATATTATTGAATACCATTTATACCAAGCGAGTTTCTCTCTACTTGAAGCTTCACCTACGCCCCCAGGTCACGCTCCTATTGTGCGTGTGACGTTCTAGGACGAAATATATAGAGGTTGTGACATCATTATCAATCATTGCATTTGCTCGGCATGAGACCAAGCTAAGGATAATCGACACAATCTCTTTTACAGGGTACGCGAAATACCATTGTAGCCGACCAAACGCTGCTGGCAATGTAGCAATACATGTTTTCAGCCCATCTCTCACCAAATATTCCTCTGCTATAAGAAGTCTCCTCCAGAATAGGACTTCAACTATCATAATTGGTGGCCCTAACTGCAAATACGCAATCTGAAACTCTATATGCCAAAGTCGAAAAATACGCTTGCTAGAGGAATATGCGAATGCTTAAAGAACCATTGTCATCGGTCCAAAGAGAACAACGTTTCTACCTTCAGGAATAGGTTGTCCTATTTTGCTAGACACAGTCATTCTGAAAAAAGAGCTTGATACCAAATATCTGCAGACATGTTAATGGGTGCAAGAGAGCGTCAACTCAAAACGACGGTTTTGAAATAGGATTCTAGAAATACTGACCCAAAAGCAGAGAATAACTTGTTTTACCAGAGATGATGATACTCATTTTTTTGTCATTAATAAAAGCCACATTCAACAAATATGTGAAATCTTTGAAAAGTTGCTGTGGTCTATTAGACAAGAACACTTTTTTTTATAGCAACACAATCACTTCTAACCTTGACCTTAAGGAGACTTGCATGTCTAAACTACAAAAAAAAATCATTTATCCATTCTCAGTTCAAAAAGTTTGGCCACACTAATCGGAACTCTTATTATTGAACCCTTCTTTCGTTCGGATGCCAGAGGAATACCAATAGAGCTTTCCAACAAGGAATATAGTGTGAGACTTCCATGTCTGCAAGAATCTCTAGAAGAAATGAGGAAAGATCCTACGAGAGATTTCAAATCCCAGACAACTATTATGGTCGTGAGTTGAACATCTTGAATAGTGTTAGTTTTCGAGAGCACAAATTTGCAAGATCAGAATGGTAATATCCCGGTGAAAACGCGGCACAATAACCAGATTGATTCGATAGTTTCATCGGTCTCAACCGATTACTATTGTTGGAATCATCACTACTATATCTTGAAATTGCCGGATCAGTTCCAGGAAATATGCTCTTTTGAACCGGTGATCAATAAGGGACTAAACATATGCTCTCATGCTCCAAAGATAGACGAAATAGTGTCTGATTTTGTATGGCAACAACTTTTAAACATAATTTTTTTGGTTAATTGAAATAAATGAACTGCAGTAAATTGTTTTGGAATGTATCTCTTGCATCGGCAAGCATTGGTTTTCTCCTGAATAAGCCCGGATGACTGCTTCACCTCGTAGACTAGCGGATATTGGCTTTTAAAAAACATCAACTTATACCGTCCTAGACTTTAGTCGAGGGTCACATGCATGACGCAAGCGAAGCGCCGCTTCACCATAAATTAGCGTAACCTAATAAAAAATTAAATCACATCACTTTGCAATAAGACAAACTATAAGGTAAAAGTTCCTATTATCGGCACTACCCCAATTATCGGCACTGATTCTGTACAACTTGATCTACACCCTTGCAAAATCCATCGATCTTCAGCCTAAATCGGTAATGACAACTGTCAAAAATATATTGGTCAGTTGGCGCCAAACTCCCGTGTCAAGCTTTTCTTGTTGCATGTGTTAAGAAACAGGTAAGCTACATCGTGTTATATTTCCTGCTTAATCTTTTGTATGAACGTTTTATCAGGTTTTGTATGTTTAGATATCATTATTTTTATTTTTTGTATTTTTTTTTCATGTTTTTCCAAGTATTTTATGGGTGCCGATAATGGGTACGTTAATATAAGTTGCTGACCCAATCATAGGCAGCTGTGCCGATAATTGGTAGTTTGTATAAGTTGATATTAAGATCGATTTTAGCTTTAACTTTTAGCTTATCGTAAGAAATGTTTGGTTATTATATGCAATATGAAGCGATGATATTTCGGACCAATTTTCGGCACCTCATATTTCCGCTAGATACTAGCCTTTTTTTTAACTTGAAAACTGTGCCGATGATACACACATTCAAGTGCCGATAATTAGAAATGTATTTTTTAACGGTCGCAATGGAATAGAAAAAACGAATTCAATATTCTGTTGCAACTATTAGTACAGCTGTTGACGCTGTTCGATCAGGAATGCCATTCAAAACTGCTAGTAACTTATATAAGATACCTAGATCGACTCTTCAAGATAAAGTAAAGGGTAGAACACTTTTAGAGGAGAAATGTGGACCAGAAACAAAAGAAGAAGAAAATTTACTGGTAGCAGCATGGCTATATCAAATTGCGGACTGTGGATTTTTTTGCACCGAAAACAGTTGTCAGATAGTGTTCAACTACTAGCTAAAGAATAGATATAGATATAGATGGAATTTAAACCGCTACCGGTCAGGGTAAATCGATTTAACTAGGTTTATAGATTTTTGTATAACAGATAAAAGCAGCGATTAAAAAAATGAGGAGTCTTTCAATTCAATATTTGACAAAGCAAGCATTGAAGCACCTACAATAAATCCGTTTTTTGAAGGCTTAAAATAGACGTTCTTGGGCGTGACACCCGAAAAAATTTTCTACCTTCCTGTAGTAGTAACCACACCTGCTTTGAAGTAGCGCTTCACCATTTTTCAGAGCCACGCGCCGCCACTGACCAAGGCTTACCCTACACAGAGGGTATTGGACTTTGTTATTTTTATGGAAACCAGAGCAGACTATGTTTGTTCAAATATACTATAATATTTCTGATTTAATACAGTGGATGGACTTCGGCCCGCATTAAATTATTTCTGTATGTATCTCTGTTTCATCAGCGCAGTGTATTTTTTTCAGGCAATGATTTATTCTTGAATTAACCCGGATGACTTCTTCACCTCGTAGACTGGCGGATATTCGCTTTTGGAGAGCATCAACTCATACCGTCCCAGCTTTTAGTTGAGGGTCACCAGGGCCTACCCTACAAACAGGATATTGGGAAGGTAGATTTCAAAAAACCTGAGAAAATTATATTTGTATAAATATAGAAGTAAATTGCCAGACGATGAGCGAATAGGAAGCTGCATTGAACATATGTTCAAATCTGTTACAAACCTGATACTCTGGTGTGCTTTTTAGATAGTAAGAATGAGGAAATATTCTTCTGATTGTAACCAAAAATACTACTTCTTCTTATTGCTTACCAGAGAAGAGTTGAATGGCAAGGAAGACAATATATTTATACCAACATAGATACACTTATTGCCAAAATGCTTATATTATTGTCAGAATCGTTTATCTGAAAAAAATAAATCAAATCAAAAAAAGCCTGGTCACACTCATCAGAATTCCTATTATTGAACCCGTTCGGGTGGCAGAAAAAGCAATAGAGCTTTCCAACAAGGAATATAGTGTGACACTTCTACGTCTGCAAGAATCGCTACAAGATATGTGGAAAAATCCTACGAGAGATTTCAAATCACAGACAACTACTATGGTCGTGAGTTGGACATCTTGAACAGTGTTAGTTTTGGAGATCACAAATTTGCAAGACCAGAATGGTAATATCCCGGTAAAAACACGGGACCATAACCAGATTAATTTTCAAATTCAAATTCAAATTCAAATTCAAATTCAAATTCAAATTCAAATTCAAATTCAAAAGCATTTATTTGCCAACAACCTAAATATAATAACATAAACTGAATACTTAGGCCCGTATTCTCAGTCACACCTCAAATTAAGGACCCCTTGCGACTTGAAGGTCGCCTTGAATAAGGACGCCTTCGTGGTTTGCGACTTTGGCATTTCATAGTAGCGAGTTAAAGCATCCTTATTGAAGGAAGCCTCGTATTAGGTTTTGCAACTGGCAACAACGGTTTCTACGAAATGTCTATTGTTATTGTCATTAAGTTGTCATTGATAATATATAATTCTATGAGAAAAAGGTAGGATAGCTCCAGAAACAGTAATTTTTCGTGTGAAATTTATGTGCAAAATTATGGCGACAAAGTATACTGAGACCGAAAAAATGTTCCTGGTCCAGATGGTCGCTCAACACAGGGTAATAGCTGAAAATAAAAAAACAGACGCTGTATCATTGAAGGAGAAACAGGCTGCTTGGGATAAAATTCAATGTTCCTATTGTAGCCAGGGCATTCCAACTAAAAGTGTGAAACAATTAAAAAAGTGTTGGGACAATATAAAACAGAAGTAAGTATAACGATATTGTTCTATGAACAAATATGCAGTACAGCTGTGTCTGGAATGTTTTAGAAAAAGGCAGCATAATACATTATCCCGACAAAACAGGTTGTTAACGGGAGGTGGTTCTCCTAAGGAGGTCATTACTGATCCCGTTACGGATTTTGCGGGGAGTGCTTTTGCAGCAATAGATGTTGAGTTGGGGAACGACTGGGACAGCACAGCTGTTTTCGAAAAAAAAAGTTCGTGTATAGGTTGAATGTTACTTAAATGAAAATCGTTTATTGCTGTATTTTTAGATTTGTTAAGCCCGTTAGCTACAAAGGGCAATGATGCAGTGATGGATAACCGAACCCCACTGTCCCCACTGAATGATGAAAGCAGCCAGTCAGAGGGTATGCAATTCATAATTGAATACTCAAATAGGCAGCTTTTCTGAATTGTGTTTTAGATGAAGCTGTGCTACCATGTCAGCCTTCAGCAGGTGCATCTATGAAGGTTGTGCCTGAACAGCTCACTCCAGCACCCATTGATCAAAAAGCACTCCATCCGTCTAACAGGCGAATGCGATCCAAGCGCACATGTAGCTGTAACGACGAGTTAATTCAGCTGCAAATTAAAAAAGTGAGAGACGGCATTGACCAGCAACGGGAGTTGCACGAAAAGCGGATGGAAGCCGCGAACGCTGAAGCCAGATTAGCTATGGTTCGTCTGCTCCAGGCGGAAGAAGAGCTTCGCGATTCCCTAGATAAATAGTGCATTCTAACGTTCCTATTTTGTTTTAATTCAAGTTGCTTTCCACTTTTGTGTTCATTTTATATATTAAATGTTTGTTTGTTTGTTCTCTGTTCTGTGATGCGTTTTGTTATTATTCCTAACTCATGCCAAAGAAATAGAATGCAAACTCATTCAAAAACTATTTATTCAAATCGCAAAATCCAAGTTGAATTTTATAAAGGCGCTAGTTGAAAATGCAGTTACTAAAAATGTTGGTGAGCAAACACTGTCCGAAATGCCAAGCCTTCTGCATTATTATCGCCCGCAGGAAGTACATTCGCAATAGCATCATCCAATTCCTCGTCTAAGATGTTGTCATTATGCAAGAGTCCAATATTATAGAGCACGGCGGTTGCACATATCACAGCCATACTTGTTCTGAGCTTCGTACGTAGCCCACCTCGTAAGCAGAAAAATCATCTCTTCCAGATTCCAAACAAACGTTCCACCAGATTCCTTGTTCTGATGTGCGCAAAATTGTATGCCTCCTCGTGAATGTCTCTTGGGTTTAAAAACGGCGTTAACAGTTTATTTGTGCAAGCATATGCACTGTCCCCTAGAAGCAATCCTGGGATTTCATTAAGTTGGAGACGAGCTCGTAGTGCACTCCTATTAAAAATGAGGCTGTCATGGCTGGATCCTGGATGCCGCACAACAATGTCTAATATTTCCAGGTTGGGGCCTGCTGTTACCTTTATTTGGAAACATGACTCGTTATAGTTCAATGTAACACAAAAATGAAGCAACCCTACCTGAACATTCAATGAAAACCAGCCTTTACGATTTCGAAAAACCTCCGCATATGCTCCCCCTGAATTTCCAATCGCAATATGTGTGCAATCTATGCATCCTGACACGTTTGGGAAATTTGCTATATTAAAAAACCGTGCTGTATTTCTTCGGGCTTCGTTGAGTTGACGGGGAAAGTGGACGAAATTTCCTAACTGTCTTGCAAATAATATGGAGACATTTTTCACGGTTCGAGAAACATAAGGTTGACTGAAGCCCCGCAAGTCACCATGAACTACCTGGCAGTCCAGATTATTGCGTAAATTTATCTCTGGCTTTATATGAACAAAATAGTTGCTATAACCTTACCTGGAAACTATTTGACGCATAAAACCTAAGCGCAATTAGCAGCTGGAAAATTGGGGGGATAGGGAGTCCCCTATTATTTATTCTATCTAAATCTTCAAAAATGAGAGGTAGAAGAACGTCGGTGATAGTATGTTTGGAAAATCGGTATCGCCGACGAAATTCTTCATCAGAATAAAATTCTAATGGATTCTGCATGTCTCGAATAAACCTTCTTGGCCTCCGCAGCATAACCCTCGTGTGGCTAAATTCAGCAATGCCACGGATGCGGTGATTTATCGACTAACTAATGCATGCTAATGCCTGTTTAATTCAATACTGCTTTTTCTACCATTCCACCACGGTGCCTGCACTAGCTGAATCAAGCATCAGCAGCATTTATCTCTACAAAAAAAAATCCAGCTCATCCATACCAATTACATCGATAAAATACAGTTCACGTACAATACGTATCAATTAGGTTCACGTACTGTCACCAATAGGTTAGAAAACCAGCCTCAAGGGACCTCTGGACATTCCTCAAGTCAAGGAAGGAAATGTGACAAAATAAGCATGAGCTGCGATAAGGACGCCTTGACAATTTTGACTCTGAAAGACAATTTACTGCCAAGGAAACCTTTAAGGAATCCTCAGCACTCAAGTAGGCACTATGAATACCGGGCTTAGATAATTTCATGACAAAAAGGACATCTTCTCGATTATAAAAACCGCTTACATATTGCACCATAGTGCCTATGCGAAGCTGCCCTGTGATTATTCCTAATTAATATATTAATATATTACCCACTTAAATTATTAAATTACACAAAAAAAAAAACTACTTAAATAGAGGTTTATAATCCTATATTCTAAACAAAGCTGATGCGGTATGGAGAATGAAGAATGAAAGCTGGGCGGCAACCGAAAAGGAGACAGGGAGGACAGGGGGCGAATGTAATCGTAGTAGCGTATAAAGTTGATCCCAAGTTAGAGTTTTTGCACATAACTGATATCTCCGTTCCTATATACATACATATACCATAAGGCTCACCAATAAACAGTTAAAAAGCACTTGAAAGCATTACGTTCCCTGTTCTTCTAATAGTTTTAATTTAACCTGCTTCTAAAACGACTCCGGACCACAAGTTTTCATCGTCACAGGCAAATTATTCCACATTTGAACTGCAACAAATGCAAAAGATCGCTGAAAAGTTGCAGTCCTATGCTGTGCCAAAACAAAATGTTCATTGAGCCTAGTATTATGTCTGTGACTAGAAATTGCAAAAATACTCTTCAAATATCCTGGTCTGCCCTGTTTGATAATTCTATAGATAAAATTATACATGTGTTTTTTTCTTCTGTTTTCCATGTTTAATATATTATTAGTATTTAGGTATGGCGTGATATGGTCTCTATAAGGAATGTTAAATGAAAATCTCATACAGCTATTTTGAATTTTTTGAATCATTCGTTTTGTTCGCCCTATCAAGGAGCTTCCATAAACAACGTCACCGTAGTCAAAAAGAGACAGAATTAGAGACTCGCACAAGTACATTTTTTGTTTTGGTGGAAGATGTTTTTTAAAATTATAAAGTTGTTTAAGGCGCAGATAAGCAGCTCTTAGTTTAAGTTTAATATGCGGCTCGAAAGAAAGAGAACTATCAAAAATCACCCCAAGATTTTTTACTTGATCTACAATGGGAATTAAATTATTGGAAATATTAAAATGCAATCTTTGCTCAATATCTTTTTTTGTATAATTATTACCTAACACGATGATTTGAGATTTTGATGTATTTAGCTTAAGATTATGATTTAGAGCAAAAAATTCAACGTTATTTATGTCATTAATAAGGTGATTTTGAACAATTTGAATATTATCTTTATTAATTGGTATATTGCATATTGTTGTAGTGTAGCTTTTTTGACAGATTTGTACATGTCGGCCACATAAATTGAAAAAAGCAGAGGGGATAAGATGGAACCTTGTGGTACCCCGCACGAAACTGGTTGGAATTCGGAAAATGTTCTATTCGATTCTTTTGAGACTTCAACTCGACTAACACGATTTTCCAAGTAGTTTTGGAAAAAAGCAATTGCATCGTTAGATAAACCGAGTTTGTGCTAAAACCCTTACGGAACCCTGATTGGCACTCTGGGATAATATTCTGGCTTTCGGCAAATGAACCTAATTGAATAGAAATGTGTTTTTTGATTATTTTTGATAGAGCTGGTAAAATGCTAATCGGCCTCAGATCATTTAATTGAGTCGGGTTTGAAATTTTCCCGATGGGCTTAATAATGGCTTTTTTCCAAACAGAAGGGTAGGTTTTATCTAAAATGCAAGTATTTAGAATATTCAATAATGGATCTACACAAAACGGCATACAGAATTTTATATCTTTTATAGATATCCCATCCACCCCAATGGCATTAGATGATATAGTAGAAACAATTTTTAGTAAGCTACTATGGTTCATAAGTGTAAAATTTAAAGTTTCGCCATTATATTTGGTATTTTTATAATAATCAATCAATGCCGGAGACGTGGTATCAGGGAGTCTTGAATGCATTTGAAAAAAATTATGAATGTCTGTTGCGTTATTTAAATTATCTGGAAGTTCTGATAAGTTTTTTTTATTATGTGTTAGGTTTAGTTTATTCGCTATGGTCCAAAATTCTTTGCCTTTCAGTGTTGCCATGTGGTTGAAAAAGGTTATTTTTTCCCTAATAATGGCGTGTTTTGTGTAGTTACGTAACTGCCTATAATATTGTCCGTGGCCGTCGTTTTTTGATTTTTCAAATTTTCGAAGTGCTTTATCCCTTAGCTTTATTAATAATTTAATATTGCTAGTGATCCAAGGAGCAAAAGGCCTTTCACAAAAAAATTTTGTTTTGATTTGTGCAAATCGATTCATATGATCGATAATTTTCTTATTGAAAATATCTATTTTTTCATCTATGTCATTAGTGTTATAAATGTCATCCCAACCGATTAAAATACCTTCTGAAAAAAAGTTATTTATGTCTATATTCTGATAGTCTCTATATTGAACTTTTTTTTTTTAAATTGTCAATATTGGGTTTCTGAAAAATGGAGTATATTAGATTGTGATCGGTTAAGGATTGTGAAACTGCTAATAATCCAGATTGTATTGAAGATAAATTTTTGCTTGCAATTATCATATCGATAAGGGAAGAACTGCCGGTATTTGGATTTACCCTAGTGGCCTCAAAGATTCGTTGTGTGAGGTCAAAAATATCTAAAATTGTTTTAAGCCTATTTGTATGAGTTGAAGAAGACAAAAAATTGACATTAAAATCTCCTACGACTAAAATATAGTTGAACTGTGTGATCACACTCGCCAGAATATCTTCTAAATTATCGAGAAAGACGGAAACATTTCCCGAACGAGGACGGTATATATTTAATAATAAAAATGTTTCATTTTTTAGTCTGTAGCTAATTCCTAATATTTCTAAGTCAGTAAACATGTGATCAAAATGGTAAATTGTGTATTTTAAATTCTTTTTTATGTAAATACCCAGTCCTCCTCCTCTACCGCCTCGGTCTTTCCTCAAAAATCTGTATCCAGGTATAGAAAAAGATTTACTGTCCATGCCTGGGTTGAGCCATGTTTCGGTTAGGCAAAACACATCATAAGGGCACTGTGATACATAATACGTAAGTTCCTCAAAACAAGAATTAATGGACCGAACATTTAGATGCGCCAGCAAAAAATTATTAGAACTTAACTTACCGGGAATATCAACTTCGCCACGTCTTGAACTACTATTCGCAGCAATTTAACCAGTTACGTGTCCAACCAATCCACCGCCTGCCCCCTAACCCGCCCCAAAAGAGTCGCCACCATCGCCCTAACCTCTCCATAAACCGCAAACCA